AAGGCTTTTGTAATTTACCTTCAATATAAATATAACTCTCACTTGGAAGAGTATAACTATCTGAATTTTGAACTGCTATACGAATTTCATCGTTGTTTGGTAGAGCAGAAGTAGAGAATGGTAAAAACGAGTGAAATTCTTTATCAATAATTTTACACTCATCTACACATCCAGATGACACGTCAAGATAAATATCATCCATAATTAGAGTGCGTTTAACGACCGTAAAAATTTCAAATTAGATTTGCTAAGTTTTTTTCTGTTAATATTTCTAGATTTCTTTAGGTGTTTACGTTTTGTAGTTGTCTTGGTGCGATTCTGTTGTTTAATAGATCGTTTAGAGATTGTCGTCCTATTTATATTAGAAAACTTCAAACCCATTTTTTTATATAATCTGTTTAATGTGTAGTCGAACTGTGATTGGTTCACCTCTAAAATCGATCAAGTCACCGTCCTGATCAGTTAACAATATACGCAAATTTGATATAGATGTGGTGATAAGAGGATAGTAAATGAGATGTCGAGGTACTTCTATTATCTTATAACCTGCAGCAACTGTAGGATAGAATTGATGAATAATATGGCTTGAAGTCCCATTATCGAATGAAGATGTTATTAGGTTACACTTATACAGTTTACTTTTGTAATGTTAACAATACACTGAGACTCATGTTTCTCATCGGGTTTATATATTATCCCAGTATCAAAACCTAATAAGCTACCTATGCTGTCGACCATAGAAAAATCAATTTTATGGCTGCACTTCATTTCACATTTCAAAGTAACAGTGTTAGCTTTTAATTCAAAATATGTAACTATATCGGATAATAGTGATTTAATGGTTGCTTCTAGACTCACTATTTCATAAGAACCTGTAGGTATGGTTATTAACTGTATGTTAGTAACTGTATCAAGGGCGTTATCACGTACTACTCCAATACGGTTACATCCAGGTTTGATGTTTGGTATAGAGTTGTTTGTTTGAAGGCTTAAAAGACCTAATTCTGAACTATTAGCAACTTCTATAGGAGGAAAAAATTCACATGTTAATTCAGAAGAATTACTGTTAAGTGTTAAAGTTGTCATGGTTCCGATAAAAATTTTAAACACAAGTGTCCACAGTTATATGTATTACATCGTTGCTGTTTTTCACAATTGTAAATGATTTTACAACTTTTTAAATATTTCTGAACTTCAAGCGGGGGTTCTAACCCAAAGCTATCATAGTAATAAGCGCGGTTAAACTTCTTCCTAAGAGCAACCCAGTGGGAACCTGCGTTAACCGAGAGAGCTAAATTAATAACAAAAGCTTCTTGGCTTCTTGTATGAACAGGCAACGTATCTCTACAACAGGTTCCCCTGTAATGGGGTATTTTTAAAAGACGTGCACATTTATTATTTCAAAATCAAATAATGCACGTTTGGGTAGCTCTGATATTAGTTTTTTGAATTACTTCCTCGTTTAGTACTTTTAGGTTTTTTTATTCCTGCCCCTGATGATTTAGGTGCTAGAAATAATCCTTTTCCTATCTTATATTTTCCTTGCCCGTAGGGAGTTAAAAACAATCCTTTTCCCAACTTTACAGTTGTATTTTTAGAAGCCCTTAAATCATTAATAGTTTTAACAATATTACTCGCCCCGGAAGCTAAAGATCCAACTGCAGTTAAACCAGCTATCAGAGGTAAAATGGGTAAAAACCCTCCAGATTTAGGAATAGATATTATTCTAGGTACTGATTTATTTTTTTTATTTTTAACCACAACCTTTTTAGCTGCTACTATAGCGATTTTAGCCAATTTAACCATGTTTTTCTCTGTACTCTTTTTAACAGCTTTTTTTGCTGCTGATACAGCTTTTTTATAATGAATCCCCATGCCTAACTTCCGTTTAGCTTTTATAGCAGTAGTTACTAGCCAAGAAGCGGCTTTTTCTTTAAGTCCAACGTCTTTAGATTTAACTAACTCCCAAGCATTATCTTCTAATAATCTATCAGCCTTGTGCCTATCATTCAGAGAGTTACTATTATTGTATGCAATATCATGTTCTCTACAGAGTTCATCTAATTTATTCACACCTCTATCACCCCGTGCAAGCCTTTCTTTTAATTTAGTCCCAGGACCTGCGAATCTAATAAAAACAAAAATATATATTTATTAGTTTTAATCATTATTTTTATTTTTTTTATTTTTTTCAATTACTTATATCCGGGCAAATGTAATTCAAATGGAAGATTATTTATAGCAGTGTTTAGTATACCACCACCTTTGTTGGTGTTGTTCTTTCGACGTGTAGACATCATATGAGCCATTACGTTTTTAACCAGATATATTTATACCGTTATGATTTTTTCACCACAAACTATTAAACTTTCAGTTTTAAACGCGGATCCTCCGGAGATGTATCATACTAAGTCTAAAAATGGGTATTTATTACCAAATTCCGTACGCGCTTTAATTTTAGCCCCTTCTGGAGGGGGTAAAACCAACTGTGTATAGTCTTTACTTACTAACATTAATGGGATTAAGTTTCAAAACATTTATTTATACTCGAAAACTGTAGATCAGCCAAAATATAAAATGTTAAAGGATATTATATCGGGTATTGATGGTATGAAGATGTTTACTTTTAACGAAAGCGATACTGTAATTCCTCCTGAGAAAGCTTTACCTGAAAGCACATTTATTTTTGATGACGTTTTAACAGAAAGTCAAGGTGTTATACGCGCTTATTTTGCTCGCGGTAGACATAACAAGCTGGATTTATTATATTGTGCACAAAGTTGTTCATATTTAGATAAAAGAATTCTTCGTGATAATGCAAATTTTCTTGTGGTGTTCAAAATGGATCAGACCAACTTAAAACATATTTACAATGATCATGTAGCTACCGATATGTCATATAATAAATTTAACGAGTTTTGTACAACCTGTTGGAATCGTGAAAAATATAATTTTATAGTTATTAGCAAAGACGATGAGAGAGATAACGGACGGTATAGACTCAATTTCGATACGTTTGTTACTATATAGAGTACAACTCGTATAACTATTTATTCATTTATCGATCAAACATGGCAGAGGAAAGTTACACTTTATTAAAAGAGTTAATACAGGCTAGAGAAAATATTAAACAAAAATTTAAAGATCTTAAACAAAATAATGCTAGAACCGATCATGTTATAAGGCAAAACCTAAATCCTATAATTGAACCTCTGCAAAAACTAACAGATATAAAATTAACTAAAATTAAATCAAAAGAAAACCTAGTAAATGAATCTATGCAAACAGATACAGAAGCCACCTCATCGACACAAGATCAAAACCCTGATGCGATAGACGTGGAAGACTTTATTAACAAACGCATAAGAACATGGTTAGAGTCTAGTAACTCGGATAAACTTTATGGGCCTATACAACATAAAAATGGTAAAATTACTCTCGGAGACTGCGCGTTAGTGTTTGAGGCTAAAGAAGAATCAGTTTATTTAAAAAATATCATACCCCTTAACACCACAGGTGTTTATGGATGTTAAAAAACGTTAAGAAAAGAAACTAATTTTTTGGAAAAATCCAAACGATTTGTGTGAACGTTTAAAATTACTATTAGCTTCACAATCAGCAGGTAATACAGGTGTTTCGAATGAAATCACAATAATTTGGCAAGAGCTACTCAAGTCTAAGCTAATTAAACGAATTCCCGATGTCTAAACAGGAAATTGCTAACGAACTACACAGGCCTGCAAGAAGAAATTATATAAGAAGGAAGGTTGTATTATATGGAAAAAATGATTTGTTTCAAGCAGATTTATGTGAAATGGTACACTATGCGAACGTTAATAAGGGGTATAAATATTTACTCACAGTATTAGATTGTTATACTAAATACGCATACACAGCACCTTTAAAATCTAAAACCAGTAAAGAAGTAACATTAGCAATGGCTAAAATATTTAATATTCAATGTCCTAAACTCCTTCAGGTGGACAGAGGTTCAGAATTTTACTCAAAAATATTTGATGAATTAATTGAAAAATATAAAGTAAAACGATATTCTACCTTTTCGACTTTGAAAGCCAGCATAGTCGAAAGATTTAATAGAACGCTCAAAAATCTTATGTATAGAGAGTTCACAGCTAGGGGTTCATATAACTGGTTAGATATTCTACCATTAATAACCGAAAAATATAATCATACTATACACAGATCTATAGGATTAACACCTGCACAAGCTAATGCAAACCCTTCACTAGTTAAATTACGTGAACGTGTGATTCAATATAAAAAAATCAGATTTAAAATTGGTGATAACGTCAGAATATCAATTTATAAAAGTTTCTTCCATAAAAAATACCTTCCGAATTGGTCTACTGAGGTGTTTTGTATTACTAAAGTCAACAAAACAGATCCCCCCACTTATTTACTTAAAGATTATAAAAATAATCCTATATCGGGTTGTTTCTACACCGAAGAATTGTCTAAAACCAACTATCCACATGACTACTTAGTGGAAAAAGTTGTTCGAACTAAAGGATCTAAATTGTATGTTAAATGGTTAGGATTTCCATCGACCGAAAATAGTTGGATAAATAGGACTGATATAAAGCAACCATAGCCAGTCATACGTTGACTATGAACGTGTTTGGAGAGACTGCTGATACATTTATAAACAATATAATTTCAACGCTTGACGGTAATAGCAAACTTATAAAAAATAACGATAATAAAATTTCAAGTATTACAAAACAGTTGTATGACATACAGAAAACAACATCAGATAACCTTGAAAAAATTAAATCTATAGAAACTACTATAGAAAAAATCAATGATGATAATGAAATTTTTAAGTATACAACTGATAAAACAATCGTAGAAATTCTTAATAGTATTCAAGACCAAAACGATGTTCGAAAATTAGATGAACATATATTAGGCCGTATAAGTTCTTTAGAAGTGTTTCTCGCAGATAAATCAGGATTTAAGAAGCCGGCAAATTAGTTGATTTATTTTTTCATAATGACTTCTGCTATTTTGGATATGGAATGCATTATGTCACCAGACTCTAATTATTTAATAAAAGAATTATCTGTAATTGCAACTGACACATGGAATACACAACATTGGATATTTAAGTACAACTTTACACAAACTTCAAACAAAAACACTCGAAACGTTAACAGGTGGCTAGCTAGAAACCATCACTCAATGACACCTCAATATGGAGACGTTGAAGCAGAAGATATATCGAGAATTTTAAATTCTTTAACATTTACAATCATCTATGTCAAAGGGCTACAGAAAAAAGATATTTTACATCAGTTTATACCACATGTCCAAATAATTAACCTTGAAGACATCGGATGCCCTCGCTTATCGGAACTAACCACTGAAGAATCATATCCATCATGTTTATTTCATATGAATTTAACCCTAAACACTGTACTTTTTATAAAATGTTTGCATTACGAAATTGGTTTGTAAACATCTCATAACCTTGTATATTATAATGTATTTTAATTTAACTTTATTTTTAATAAAAACAATTTATTTATTATAATTTAGTAGTCTATTTTTTTTATTTACATTACGAATATAACATAGTACATGTAAAGATATTATTTATATTTTATTTACATATTCTCACTACAACAATCAGAAGTGGGAGAGGTTGTCTGCACAAAACTGAAGTGTATAGAAAATATATATAACAAAACAAAAATAAATAAAAGGGTGAAAAAAAAAAATAACAATACCTATAAACTTAATAATAAATTGGAAATTATAGTTCTTCTTCTTCTTCTTCATCTTCTTCTTCTTCTTCAGCCATCTCCCTATGTTTAAATAAATTGTTTATATAAGTAAATTTTTTTTTAACAAACTACTGATTTTATAACTTACATTAGTTTATAATGTCCATAAGGTAAAGTATGTATACGGTCAGGTAATACAACTCTCTTGTCGTCATGTCGATTTAACGCTAGCTTGAGGGTTGAAATGGTTTTAATATTATGTTTATAAGAACGGAATGAGTTCATCGTACGGTATGGATTGAATGCAGCAGGATCTTTTTCATTGATACCTTGGAATAAACAATCCATATGATCCTCAAATGTCATATGATTCTTTATTACATGGTAAGCAACGCCCTTAGCTTTAATATGTTCATGTCCAACCTGTATATAGCCATACGATTTTGGTTTTAGAGCCACTTGTTCCGAGATTATTTCACCTCCAGTCTCATCTAAAACATATTAGAATTATTACCTATATACAATAAAAAAAAAGAAACTATTATATTGTATAACTAACCTGTGAAAGTTCCGGGAACTTTTTTTCTCTCGGTTCTATAACACGGATGAGATGGCGGGAAATTAGATGTATCCAATTTTTCCAGAAAACCCGGTTTGGTTAGCATGTCATGGTAAAAGTCATCTGTCTTAATTAAATACATTAGAGAATCTGAAAATATTAATAATAAATATATATAATAGTTCTTCAATAAAAAAAATAATAATAGTATTACCTGTATCCATGTATAACAGTTCTATGTCACATCCATAGTATTTTTTCATTACATTGTAATGAAAATTATACATTAAAGTCTTGGAGATTTCCAAGACAGTAAATCCTACATAAATAGGCTTATCAAAAGTTAAAACTGCCTTGTGGAGGTGTACCGCATACAAGTTTTCATTGTATTGCGTTACACCCTTAAATGTAGGCTTGTTTATCAGTTTTTGAAAAGCTGCAGGACTGCAGACAAGAGACATCTTCATGCGATTGCGCACATTCTCCATGGTTTTACCTATTAAAATAATTAAGATGATATTATTTTTTAAAAAAATTATTTTTTTTTAATATAATTATATATATACACATTTACCAAAAACTGCGTTGTTCATGAGCTTAAAGAAGTCCTTTTGGAAATCGTCGGTTGCTTTTTTCCTCATTTCCGTATTGAGTGAAATATAGCTAGCTAACCAAGGGCTTTGGTCAAATTGAAGTACCCTATGCACCTTTTTTAAAACAAGACCCTCCTTCAGAGCCTGCTTTAAAATTGAGTGGTGCACAATATACTTTTTTTTATCGTTTAACGTTAAGATTAATTTTTTTATCTTTGAACCAGGAGGGGTAATCTTCTCACACATAAACGGCAGATCTGAATGTTGATCATCAAGGGATTTCGGGTATTCGACATCAACCTCTAAAATCAACCCGTTTTCCGAATTGTCATCTATTCTGTCTAAACGGTTTTGAACAGATTGTACAGAAAGATTTCCTTCGTACCATTTGAAGTTACCAGTTGGTATCGTTTGCGACATTGCCCAACCATATCTGAAATAATTATATGAAAATTAAAAAAATAAACTATAAATACAGTTTTCACATTATTATTACTCACAGATTTGTTGCATCAAGATATGTTATCCATCTGTTTGGTTCTTCAGGATTGTATACGGGTGCCTTGCTGTGGTTAGCTTTAGAGTATCTCTTTGAAGCTTGACAGATTCCCCCTCTTACACCTAAATTAGATAACGAATGTTAGAGATGTAATATCAATGAAACTTATAATTGTTATTACCTTGCTCGAACATAAGTAACATGTCATAGTCTGATATCAATTCCAACTTGGCTTCAGTGTATTTCAAACACACATCGAAACTCATACCAGGGATAGTATAATAATGACAGCAATCGATTTCATATGTTTTTAAACAGAGCTCCCTAAAAGCTTCAAAAACATCACATAAAATATGTACATCCAATTCGTTATACCTGAAAAATATAAATAATTATCAGACTAAGATAGAATACTTTTAAATATATCACATACCATAAGCTGTATTCGCCTAAAGTTTTGAATTTAAAACGATTCCATACATTTTGAGCGTGTTTATAATCATCTTGGGAAATATTTTTCTCAGTCAGTGAACTAAAAAAAATGGTTTTTAATTTATTTTATTATTATTATTATTTTTTTATGTAATATAATTATTATAATTCACCTGTAAAACTGTTCTATAGGCGGTAGACACTGTTCTTCCAATTTTTCCCATGAGTCCGTATAATCGTAACAGTAAACACCTTTACGAGTAACCATATCCAAATCATCTTCACCATATGCATTTATCACAGAACGGAACTTTGTCTTATCGGATCGAGCAAGGTTATTGGCTAATTTTTCCAAACTACTAGCCATAAAACGATAACTATCCAGAAAACGTATGGAAAACCTATTCGAAATATATTTTGAAAAAGATATAAATTTTTCTTCACTATTTGGAATTACGTTTATTGTATGCGGATCGTGTCCTAATTAATTTATTATTATATGGCTATCATAACTAGAGAGATTGTGCATGATGCAACTTACGAATTTCGCGGTTTGCATCTTTAAGTTACACCTATTACAGACAGTCTGTCTATATCTACCGCTTAAATGATGGTGATCACGTACCGGATTATTTGTTAATGAAAATTTACATTTACAAAGAGGACATTTACCCCCGTTCACGATAGACTTATGGTTACTTTCGTTCTGTGATGTCATACATATAGGAGTGTTGATTTTTAAAAGCTGTTCAATTTTACGTGCCACATCAGTAATGCTCTGTATAAAATGCTTTGGTACATCGTTAGCCTCAGAATTTGCATTACCTCTGTATACAACCGGGGATTGCGGTATGTCGAATTGATCCATTAGCTCTGTTGGTACATCCTCGCTAGCTTTAACTAAATAACAATAACTCATGGGAACATGTTCTTGAGTGACAGTTGTTTTCCCAAAATGGTTGTCCCCTACAGGTTTCTTCAATAAACACTCGAAATCAGCGTAAATGACAAAATCGAGTTTTTGGGTGTTACCCCAGTTCTCAAACTGCATGTACGTATTTGGCGGTGGTAGAATTGGAGTTACTGACTCGTTCTTGACGCATATTCGTTTATGATCTTCAAGTCTAGCTTCTTTATCAATTTTACCCGGTTCATCGATGTACACCTTAAAACAGCGTCTGCAGATGGCTTTTTCCTTGGTGTTTTTAGACAGTTGACATCCAACCAATCTTGCAAGATTCTTGATATAACAGTAGTGGTATACTCCCTCTCCGTTGTTGAAATATAATAAATCGTAATGATCGGTTTGTTCACGGTCACACACCTTGTATGGGATAATAATGAATTCATCCTTTTCTGCATTTTGAGACGTCTGGCCGTTGTTATTCTTAGATTTATTTTTATATGTTAAACTCCCCTTCTTGAAGCCGTACACGTTTATCGATACCCCTGGATTATTTTTTTCAAAATGTTTCACCTCAGATAATGGCACGGGGAATGTAAGTCCCGAGAAATTGTGTCTGCTTGGCACATTCTGATAATGTGTGATACGGCTGGGGTTTGGCGCAGTAACGTCCTTGGCCATAATGCTGTATTTGAAGCACATATTGTCATTATTTTGTACGTTTATTGTTGCTTTACGATTTTCAATTGTCTCCGGAAGCGGTATAAAAGCTGAACCTCCAAGGGGTGTATATTTAAATACATCAAGTAGTATACCATCAATTTTCTCTAAAGAAAACCCGGATCCTTTCCCCTCCATCTCAGCCTCTTCAGAAATTATCTTAGCAAAGTCCTCGTCTATTGCCGATTCAATGTTCGTGTCCTGGAATAGAGTTCTTGCTGATGACTTGAATGCTCTATTTTCCAAAACATCTGTAGAAGGGATTTTATACGTCGATTCCAGTTTTAATGTATACTTCACCGCATTTTCGGCTACAAGTGTTCTTAATAATTCGAATAGTTGCGGTTTGGTTTCAGACAGGAAAGAGTCATAATCAGCTAACTGATTAAAATTTCTTTTGTAGAAAGTTTTACAAAGCCCGTTGAACCCACTGCTAGTTGATACAAATCCATCTACTTGAGTAACTGCTAGTCGATGACGTTTCAATCGGGTGTTAGATTGGTTGACGTTGTCTCTTTGTCGTTTACCTACACCTAATAATAAAATAATATTCCCTACTTAATATAATACGTTTACTATAATTTTCTAATCAAATTAAATAAAAACTAAAAAAAATATCGGGCGTTGACGATAGGCAATTTTTATGTAAATATTTTATCGTTTAAAAATAATTTCAGTTAAATTAAATCGGCCGTAGAGTGTAAAAGATTTTTAGATAATTATTATAACGTTTAAAAATTGTAATTTACTTCGCAGGATTATATTTTATTAACACGAAAAATATTTATACATTTAGTTAAATAGTATCGAAGTTAAATTAAAAAAAATTAAAAAAACGATTGTAGACGGTGAACGATTTTTATATAAATTAGTTTATCTTAAAAAAATAAAAAATATTTATACATTTAATCGTTAATCGCGTTAAAAATAATGTTTTTGATAATAAATTAAAAAAAATATTTATACATTTAATGGTTAATCACGTTAAAAATAACGTTTTTAATAATAAATTTATCCAAGTTGTAATACTAACTATTCAATCGATTAGATATTATTATCTAAATTTTTAATCTAACCCTAGACTATCGTTTCACTTGTAAAACTATAATAAAACTAATAAAAACAGGCGTTGAAGATAGGCAATTTTTTAGCTAATCGTTTAAAAATTAATTCCAGAGTTAAATTAAAAAAATTGGTTTTACTAATAATTTAACCAAGTTGTAATAATATCTATTTAAACGATTAAATTTATTTCTAATATATTATTAACTAAATTTTAATCTAACCATATCCTATCGTTTCACTTGTAAAAAACTATATTATTGACTAACCTGATCCACTTGCCGAGTTTGATTGCATATGTTCGGGGGTTTGTATGTAGTCCGGTAAATTTGTCGATGTTGATGGAATATCATCATACGCTTGATTACATAATTCATCACCTTCACTATCGAAGAAGCTTTCATGTGATGTGCCCCTTTGTTCTAAAAAAAAAAAAAAGGTATTTAATAATATTTACTATTTTACAAAAAAAAAAAAAAATGTTTATACTAACCTAATGTCTGGTTGTTGGATGTGTGTTGTATAACGCTAGTACGTTGCTGTATACGCTCGTGTCTTCCATCCTGACCAGCTCCGGCTGTGTGAAAATATATATTTATTTAATTAAATCACTAAATTTTTTTTAAATTAAAAAAAATGTATCTTATTTTAAGTAATTCACATACCGTGCTTCCTTTTGCAGTGTCGAGTAAGATTGAATTTACTTTCACAATCATATTCACATTCACCGCAGTAAAATCGAACACCATCATGAGTTTTAAGATGATGGTTTAAATTTTGCTTTAAAGAGTACACCTTTTTACAAATATTACACTGATACATGATTAAAAATTTAATATGATCAATATAATATTAATAATATAATAATAATTGATTAATAATAATAATTTATTATGTTAAATGCGTAAAAAAAAAATGAATTGCGTTATAAAGTTAGTAAGCAATATCTTATATAAGCGTTAATATATTGTATGCGTTAGTATGTTAAATTTATGCGAAAGCGAAAATATATTTAAAAATTAGCAATAATAATAATATTAATATGATAATTTGTTTTAAAAAAAACACAAAACCGATAATATTAAAATTAAACACTGGAAAATAAATGTAATATTTTAACGGAGTGAAAACTTAGATGCACTTGTTAACGTTTTCGCTGTAGAACCAAATCTGACGTTATTAGAAATATTGGTTCACTAGCATGGTCTAAGATTTAATCATAACCTCCCTCCAACAAGCAAAATATTCATCCCTCCCAACTCGTTGGAAGGGATGATATTTCGTTTCATATTCCATCTACCAAACATTAGCAACTGGTCTGAACTTGATTTTTTTTGAGTGCGTTATAGGATTCTATGGAAAGACCTTTCGTTGACCGAAACGAAATTTATGTATATATTTTTACACGTAAATACTATTTTAAAATGACCATACGCATCACCACGTGGGAAGGTTTTTTTAGGCAAACAACCCAAATTCTTTGATAACATGGTTACACGGTAAATTTACGATTTTTATTTATAAAGAAAATAACAGGGTTGGTCTTTTCTGACGATATATTACACACCCCGACTTGACCGAAACGAATTTTATGTATATATTTTTTACATAGTATACATTATTTTAAAATGGCCTTACACATCGCCACATGGGGGGCGGGTGTTCTTTACGTAAACAAGCCAGCATCCACCAAACATTAGCAACTGGTCTGAACCTGATTTTTTTAGTGCGTTATAAGATTCTATGGAAAGACCTTTCGTTGACCGAAACGAAATTTATGTATATATTTTTACACGTAAATACTATTTTAAAATGAGCATATGCATCGCTACATGGGGAGGATTTTTTTAAGCAAACAACCTAAATTCTTCGATAACATGGTCACACGGTAAATTTACGATTTTTATTTATAAAGAAAATAACAGGGTTGATCTTTTCTAATGATATATTACACACCCCGACTTGACCGAAACGAATTTTATGTATATATTTTTTACATAGTATACATTATTTTAAAATAACCTTACACGTCGCTATATGTGGGAGGATGATCTTTGCGTGACCAATCCAAATTCTTCAGTTTTACATCATGTATAACCTAACCTAACGGTAAATTTATTATCTACATTTATAAAGAAAACTTCTCGGGTACATACACAATATTTTTTTGAATCTATATATCCTGGAAAATATTTAGTTACGTAAATCAACATTTAGTGTTAACCATTTCAGTGAGCAACCCGTGTATTTTGTTCAACTTGAAATATTAGCAAATTAACTATGTCAAATCTCTCAGAAATTTATATAAGAAACGATATGTTTACCTCACGTTTTGTTTTTGAACGTATATCGCAATATCCTTTAAAATACGGGGTAGATCATATACGACGATATTCAAGTGCGTTTACCGAGTGGAATGTCGCGTATTGTTGTAAACGTTTCAACAGTCGCGATTATATATGCAATGAACACCCGTGTTGGAGCACTTTTGAGGGCATAGAACGACAACCTGAATTTGGGGTTAGATCATTTGCCATCAACGACATTAATGGATTTTTCGCATTTATGCGATTAATGCATTGTAAGCAATGCAGACGTCCACTGTACCGATGGCTCACAGTCGATAAATCAATCGCCAGGAATTGGAGCCTGCTTACATTAGACAAGTTTGTAAATTACGTTGATCTACCTATTGAATATATTAACTTGTAATTTTTTTTACTAACCTTAGATTTAAGAAACCGGAGTTAATTATTGTAATTTTTTTTATTAATATTAGATTTTAAGAGGTATGATTGTGACTTAAATATTTTATCTAAAAGAAACTTTTTTTAAAAAAAAAAAACAATAAATCCTCATTTTTTTTTTTAGTTAACTATGTATTTAATTTAATTTAATTTATTAAATTTATTTAAACTAAATTATCATGACTCATCTATGAACTAAATATCTATCCTTATTATTTTTAAAAAAATGTGGTCTGGATTTAGCGTTTCTATAACACTATGGTTAGTAAGAATTGTAAAAAAAAATCTGACCATAATATTTACATAATTTCATGTCTGTGAGCTTAAGGTGTGTATGCATGATTTCTATGCGTTATAAGGATAAAATATTGTACTAAATGGAAACTTACCATTTTTACTTTTAAGGTTTGTATTAAATAAAATATCGTATTCTATGACATCAGTTAAACAGTGTTTTAAAACAAAATTTAAAAGTAATATAATATTTTATATGTATTATCCATAAATAATATTATTAAGAAATGATCGTTAAAAATTATAACAGCTTAAAACATCGGTGAAAGGTTAGGTTAGGTTGAAAATCAAAAAATTAGCTGCTAAAAATAATAATATAAAAATTGATATAAGTTAATAAAAATAATAAAGATTTTTTTTCTTTAAATATAATACATTAAAATTTGCCGATTGGGTTAGGTTAGGTTAGGTTAGGGTCAACGAGGCGGAGTTCATTGTTACACCGTCATCCATTCATCCCCGCGGCGGCCATTCTCCGGGCGGCGACCGAGACACCTACATGACGGGGTACAGGACAGCTGTGAATTATCCGATCGCCACCTGCGTAATCCTCCGGCTAATCACCAATCCTCAATCCTCCCATTGTTCCAGTACATACATTCCCCTTCTACTTATGGTCATAGAGACATGAATAAATGTTTGTAAGTATACACATAATATAGGTAAAAAGCTAATGCTTAATCTGTTTTTTATTAGTGATTATTGTTTAATGAACATAACATTTTCAGCAATATTATAAAATAGTGTTAAATGTACCTATATAATTTTATTTATATTTTTTTTACATGTTTTAAAGATATAAATAAAATGCAATGATGTAAATAGTGCCAGTATTATTGTGTGCATACTATAATAATATAATTTTAAAGGAAAGGTCAAGGGGGTTATGAAAGTTGATGGATGTGTCTTATACTACCGTAACTTTTTTTAAATTTTACAATTACTATAATATGTATTGTTATAAAGTATATCTCCACGTACCTAGATTCTGGTCCAGCGACGATCTCAAAGCAGCAGCTTTGAAGATTAAATTGATCTATTACTTAGATCTTTTAAAGAAAAAACACTTGCGTCTATTTTAAGTCAGTCGTCTTAATTTAAAAGGAGAGATAGAACAGAGAAGAAAAACAAATGCATATTGAATTTATATTATTAAAGATATAATGAAAAAGAAAAAATGTATGATTTATTTATTTAATCTTCTTCTGGGAAAAAATTTAAATTTAATAAATGTGAGTCAATAATGTTATGAATATTTTCTCATTTATAGTGGTAAAAAATGTTTACGTGTTTCGTCAAGTATGTCCAGTTCTGCGTTAAATGGTGGTTTTGAAAATAAAAGGAAATATATATTTCCTATTTCATTGGGGACTGCCACTAGTGTCCTTGTTCATCAGTTTTGTAGGATATTAAAATAATGGAATTTATTGTGATTTTATTTTCTACTTTGGCGTTTTGTGGATTATTTAATTTATTAGAACAGTGCATATTCTGATAATATAATAGAACTTTAACGGCGTAAAAGGGTATGTTGTAAAAAGAGTTAGTTCTGAAGCAACTAACTATGTTAAGATAGCTAAATTAATAGATGAATTATTAAATAAAATAATAATAAACAAACACAATGTTTTGTTGTGCATAGGACTTGGAACATACACTGAGTCAAAACCATAAACAATTACGAAAAGAATCGGTTAACTACGCACACCATGCCTTAACAATTAAATAATTGATAAGTAGCAGACGATTGTAGCTAAACGACTGAGCGGCGACAAGCCCGTCGTGTTGTCTTATATAGGGAGTAAATGCGTCATTAGCAGGGGGTGAAGTATGAAATGTTTCCTAGGATAATCATCCAAACGTACAATTGTATGGTATGAGTCAGCATGTGTTACGTGTCCTGTTTATTTTTGTTTATCCTTTTATATTTTTATAAAATATTGTACTTGAAATAATATATAAATAATTGTATGCGATATTATTATTTATGCATACAATTGATCTTGTATAATTGACATTTTTGATAAGTGCAAATATTGAATTTAGTGCATATAATCTTATCATATATAAAGGTATTTGTAGTGCACATAATTTAACTATAAAATGTATTATGCATTATGATATTACGTGTAAATGATTCAGTGCATACAATATAATCATTACAAAGTGCCACTTTCGAATTTTGGACACGTCCCCGTGGCCCAATATAAAATGTGTTTAAACAAATTTAAAATAAAATAAAAAAAGTGCTATTGAGGATTTAAATATTGCAATCTTTTTTTTAGATTTCTTTTGCAATTAGGCTTAGCCTTCTTTTTTTTATGTCTTCTTAATCTATTTATTTTTATTTTAGAAGGACTTTTTTTATTTTTCAAAGTCTTAAAATTTATAGTTAAATTAGGCACCTGTGTAGGGTGTACTGTCGTCAGAATTATTTGTGGTTGTGGAGTTTGGAGAAAGAGCGTGTTCTGTGCGATCTCCTCCTTATGTCTTGTTCTCATGAATGGCATCATGGCTTGGTTGATGGTCGGCGATTTGTTGGCTGCCAGGTGTCTCGTCATTTTGATTAAACTTGGCCCACTATCCCATGAATTTGTTAGCATCGGTTGGTTTCCGAATTTAACCGTCCGTATATTTTTTTTTTGTTTTATGTTCATTTTCCCATTGTGTAAGGAAATTGATCAGGTCGGAGGTGATGTCTTCGTAAGTCCCTCTTCTTCCATCATATATTATCACACTCTCCGTGGGCACATGGCAAGTGATTAGCATCCAATGATTTTTATCGAAGTTAAATGGGAAGAACAGATAATTTTTGAGGAATATGTCTTTGTTTATTTTTTGTTTAATATGTTCAAATCCTTTGTTGATATAATCCAATAAGAAGTTGGTGTGGAAGTAATAATTGTTATTGGTGTTGGCAATTATCAATTCCAAGTACTTCTCGATTGTATTTTCGGTATATACGGATGTATTTGTTTCGAAAGACATGTTAGTATTAGTATAGTACTAGTATAGTTGATGTTTGTGTATGTATTAGTAAATTGGATGGTCTTTTTTTTTTTAAATATGTTTTTTGTATTTTGTCCTGGTGGTGAAATTTTTACTTAATTAATATCTTGTGTTTCAGGGAGTGGGTAGTTTTTGTTATATGCCATTTGCTGTTTTATGCAGATGAATGAGATAAGGTTGCCTTGTGGTTGATTGTTTGATTTGATCCTTTGATGTTGTTTTCGTTTCCAGGTGTATTTGTAGTTGACAATACACCCTTACAGGTTTGACAATATATTTTGGTAGGGATGATGTGTGATAGTTTGTATATGACAATATATATATTTTTTTTAAACAAATTAAAAAATGAGAAAGAGAAAAAAAAATTGAATAAATGTATATAATATTATAGTGGTTGTGTGTAATATTAATGTGATTTAGATATTTGATTTTGTGTTTAATCATTTAGTTTGGAGACAAATTTGTTTGTGTTAATATAACTTATTCACCATGTACATATGTATAAGATATATAGATCTTACATAAAGAAAATATATTGTTTTGTTGTTTTTAGGTGTTATATACCTAATACTTTCAAGAATTATATGCACATGCACTACCAAAGCTATATAATCTTACTTGATTTGTCACATAAAAGTGCATGAATGCTATAGTGTATTCTAAATACATTTGAAAGCGTATGTATTTTTATAATATAATAATTATATATTTTATTGTTAAATTTCGTGAGTTTTGTGCATATGATATTTTTTTCTGAGAGTCATTTATAAGATAATGAGTTCATATTTGTCATAAGCTGTATTTTTTTTATGTGCAATTGTGCTTCGCATACATCTTTGTGTGTATGGTGTAGTTTTGTTAAGTAAACATTAATTGTTTGAATATTTCTTACTCTAACTTTCTCCAAATTATACTGTTTTGATTTGCCGTGTTAAAATATATTTTTTTTGTGTTTTTTTTTTGTATTTTTTTGTTTAAGTTATATGTAATTAAATAAAGTTTGATAACAAAATTAATTAGTTGAAATGTATGCTAATATTAATTTGTAATTTATGTTTTAAATATAATATTTTAGTAAAGTGGGCGAAGTTAATAGCGTAGAATATGTTTTATTTGCGATTCTTAATATTGTGTGCTTTGAGTCTTTTCTTAGATAAATTAAAGTTTAAAAGGAGTCGGTATAATATTATTAGTTCATAATTTTGCCAACCCATTTGGTTTATAATATTTTGTGCTTCATTAATTATATTAATTATTACAGTGAGCGGAGAATTTGCGGATGAAAGTAAATAAATGTTCCCGAGTTCGTTAGGGACCGATTGAGTGTTCTCAAAGTCATTGGTTTTATAGGAAGTTAGTATGAGATAACTGGTAAATATTTCATTTTGTATTATGGCTTCTTGTGGAATTGATGGGTGACCGAGACACTATGTATTATGGAAGTGCATGAGTGTGTGTACGATTATGGGGTGTAAATTATTTTTTTGAAAAGAATTAGATATTCTGCGATAGTTTCTGTTCCAATCAACAAATAAATATTCATTACATATTGGTAATATTTGGTATTGGTTTTTTTCTAATGAGTATTGCGGTATATTATCAGTGTTAAATTTTCCTATATTTACAGCTAATAATCTGACAGCTCATAAGTTGGCATAATTTATATACGTTAGTGACATGGCGAAAATCTCAATTAATTTGTATATTTTTGTAAAGTTTGATAAATATTTTCTGTCCCATAGACGACAGGTAAAAAATAGGAAAAATTCTGTTTGACAACATATGTTAAAGATTTCTTCTATAGAAAATCTTTTTGGTATGCCTATTTGAAGGTTTTCATCAATTATACGAGCTAGAGTATTAATAGAGTTAATTTTATTATCTAAGTTGAAGAAGAAAAGGTTGTGTTTATCGTCACAGAACTGTATGTTAGTAGTGTGTATTATAAAGGGTGAGTTTTTATTTAATAGATTTTGTTTTGTTTCTGATTTGAGTATATTAATACACTCCAATTTCCTTATAATTATGTCTTGTCTTAAGTAAGAGAAGTTGTTAATTGGTGGGGTTTCGCGTTTTTGTGCGGAATTAGTTAATTGAAAAACAATTGGGCCGTTATGTTGAGATATTAAGAAAGGATTGCCTGTTGCACACCAATAATATGTATCATAAAACCCACTAATTTGTGATCTATTTTTAATGTATAAAAGCATATTGAATATATTCGCGTTGATCATTTTGATTGATAATGAGAGTATCATACAAATAAATAAAAACAAATTGTTTGATTTCTTATGTTATTAGCTGAAGCAATAAGGAATATAAGATTACCTTGATTTTGATGGAGTTTATTGAAAAAACAATTTTGAATTGAAGATGTTATATGACTATGATATTTTAGTATTCTATGATATTTTCGTGAACTAGCATGATATCGAGTTGATTGTTGTGAAAAGACTGAGCTAAAATATTTGAGTATTTGTTGATCATAATGTAAAATGTAATAAAAAGTGTTTAAGGTAGGGGTAATATTTTTAACGTATTTCTGTGTTTTTTTTTTTAAAGTATTAAAATTATAAAGGTGAATTTGCTTAAATGAGTGAGTAAGATGCCATAGATAAAAAAAAAATGTTTTTATCTTTAGCATTATATGTGTTATGGCTTAAAGGATATTATTAAATATATCCTTATGTGTGTTTAAATTATATTGAAATGTGTGGTGTAAGCTTAGGATAGAACATTTGTCAGATATTTCGTCTGTGTTGCTTTTACCAAGTTGTTTTCTAGCAACGATTGTGCTAATTGAACCTTTTTGGTTCTTTTTTTGGTAAATCTGACCATCGTTTAAAAGAATTGTAAAGGGGTTACTTGATGCTGATTCGATTTAAAAAAATTCTAGTTTGCTTAAAATTACATGAGTAAGAATTTTTTTTTTAATAGTTAAAAGAAAAAGAAAATATTTAGTCATCAAAGTATTGAGTTAAGAACATGTTTGAATGAGGGTTAGAATAGTTGATAAATATGTTTAATTATAATTTATAAGTAAATATTTGTGTATGTTGCTTAAAGTTTTATGCTACCTCCACACTCTCGCGAGGTCGCCTCGTGTTGACGAAGTTGAACGAGTCGAGGTGAAGCAAAGCGCTAGCTCCACACTCGCCAAAGGGACGCGAGACAACCATCTACACTCTAGTTTTATTCTGTTGTTCATACTTGCCGTTCACAATGGACGTTGTAAGATTGGGATTGTTATTGGGGTGGCTGAACGTTACAGAATATATATACATATAAGATTAGAGATAATATATTAGAGAAAAGATATAGAGAAAAAATGGCTTTGAATTTGGGCCCCATAAAATGGGTTGAGATTGATAATGCTCGATAAATTGTATTGATATTTCGTTTGTCCAGTTATTTTTAATTGTAAGTAATAAATTATTCAGTAGGTATAAACAATTAATAACTTTTTTTTAAGAATTAAAATTGTGCGGTAGAGTAAGCGCGTAGAGCTATTTTGATCTGCGCGCATTACTCTACCGCAATCCACCTCTCATTCTACCCAGTACCCTTCAACCTTTAGTAACTTAAAAAGTAATTATCGAAATCTTGTTATCGACCAGTCAAAATTTTCAGCAAATTATTCTTTATAAAATGGAATTTTTAAAAATAAAAAAATTAACAAAAATAATTTAAAAAAGTAAAATAGTTAAGTGCAATAATAAACGTGGTGCTCAAAGCGCAAATGAGTTTAAATAAATTTGAAAAAAAATCTTGAAAATATTCACTAGAACAAAAGTTATTTCAATTGTCGAATCATTGTGTAACACCTTGTACATATATAACCATTCAGTTTAAAAACATATTTATTATTTTTAATTTTAAAATTAAATATTTCTTTTTTTTAAGAAATGAAACTTTTTTATTACAAAAATATTTCAATTTTACTCTTATTGATCACCAAACCCATCCAAATAAAAACGCATACCTAATTTAAGGCTACAAAAAGTACAAGACAGAGCTTAATATTACTTAATCTGGGTTTTGATAAAATTACTTAAAGTCGATTGCATCATTTAAAATTATAAAACGTATTATAAAATTATTTATTATTAAACAAATATAATTTAACTGCATTTTATTCGATCACATGATCACCTTCTCCTTTTATCATTTTGTCATTATATTCGAATAAGCCACTTAATAATATTGGAAATACATAATTAAACAAATTTTTGATAATTTATTTAAATCATTTTATGATTTATTTCAATCAAACACATTATAGTAATATTTTCTCTGTTATTTATATTGTCTACAAGAATACGGATCTAACCTATCTACACAGAAAAATAATTTGAGTATTTTTAGAATATTGTCTAACATGTTTTAAGAGGGCGTCGTACCTCACATTTTTAAGGAGTAAAGTATAGGACATTTTTTACAAAATCTTAATTGAAAGGTTAAACTGTGATGTGTAATTATTAGTTCAATAACTAGGACTCTATTTTAGTAGTTAATTTATTTTTTACTATCACAGCATCTTTGAAAGCGATTTAAAAAAAAAATGTCATCTCTACATGTTGAAGCAGACTGAAAATAACTTGCTTAATTTTGGTTTTAGAGTAAAAGCACCCATTATAAAATTAAAATAGAACAATATTCCGGAGGGTAAGGCGGTGCATTTTTTTCATGATTTCAAGTATAATGCTGAATACATAGTTTAGAAATAACGACTATTTTAACATTTTTAACTTTTGAATAAATTCGTTTTTTTTAAGAAACGCACCGTCTTGCCCTCCGGAATATTGTTCTCTTTTAATTTTATAATGGGTGCTTTTACTCTAAAACCAAAATTAAGCGAGTTATTTTCAGTTGGCGTAAACGTGTTTTTACCACTGAAAATCACCGGTGCGACGCTCTCTTAAAGTATACTATAAAGATGTTTTAGCGTGAAATTTGATTCTTTAAAAGTGGTATTTAAAATATTATCTAGGTAAATGTTAGAAGTATTTTTTAATTTTTTTATTAATACAATTAATACGAGGCACGGAGTGACGGACAGTCGACTGACGGCGCGGTACTATTTTTAATAAAACCCATTTCAATACCGTTTATACCGCCCTCTAATGACTAAAAACTTCATAATAAACCCTTTAAATTAACTATTTATAGATTGTGTGGCCTACAATAATGATAAAATATATATATATATATAAATATCGGATATAATTTGTGATTCAGATAAAAACGTCCATATTATTTAACACTTATTTTTGTTATAGCTATTTATCAGTAGCTAAGTATTTTTAAGGGAAAATAATAATGGTGTTTGCAAATAAACTAACATTGGTCAACTAATAACCTAATAACAATATTATGTTATTTATGATTTATTCCAATAATGTGGTAAAAAAAAAAAAACTGTGTACTTTAATAAAATATTATTTAAAGTTGAAATGAATTAAATTAAAAATAACAGAAATTATTAAAAATGGCTAATAGGGTACGAATTTATTTTCAATGGTAATTTTTTCGAGGCGCTCGATAAAAATGTATTTCCAGTTATTAAACAAAAAGTGCAATTTAATAATAATAATCACCCAAGACTGATTCCTTCTGATTTTGGACGTTGAATTTTCTTGTTGCATAGACTTTACCGTCACGGTCACTTGACGTCGATGTGGTATTTACAGCATGTAAGTCACGCGATTCGAACTAATTCCCACGATACTTCTCGACGCGTTCGACCGACATACGACGTGTGTGCTGTCAGTCCGCACGATACCGCATTAGTGACCTGCAGTTGAAATTTATTTTGAATCTTATATGAATCTCCGGAAAAAGGTCAGCGTCGTTTCCATTTGACAACCGATTAGGTAGTTAAAATGCAGTTTACACATGCCGCAAACACATTCGTTGCGTAGGCCACTTGTTACTTGTTATCCTGTCCGACGACATATTCTGTGTTTAGGGTATGCGGGTGTGCATTGTGTCAGGTAGCCTCAGGTATTATAATGAATGTTGTATAAAATATGTGAATATCAATATTATACACCGCCAGTCTGTTGTCAGGTAATCGGTCAGTCGTGCCGAAATGCCTTTTTTTTATGTTTACAGGTGTTTTATTAGGTACACGATTAAATCGGTTCGGTATATTAGTATACCTATTTTGTACACGGGTTAAACAGCGCTAGACCCTTTTACAAAAATTATATTGGTCTTCGGATTTTTTATTGTATAGTAATTTCGCCAACATAACAACTGTTGCAGCTGAACATTTATGCAAAAATATGCAAAAATAGCAATAGATACTATCCAATTTACAAATTTGATATCTATTCAGTGACAACTCCAGTATCTATTTATTTACAATCTAAAACGATAATTATTTACAAGCATGGAAATTTGAAAATGATTGCTACTCTACAAAAAAAACATTTCGATCTGTACGAAAAAAGTCAACACTATTGTAAAAAAGTAAAAGATATTACATGTTCACGTTTATTGTAAGCCGTACAAAAACGCCCTATATCTCCGCCATTACCAAAAATAAATATAAAAATAACATTTTTTATTACAATAAAAAGTACCTAAGTTATAGGTCTTTTGAAAGGCAAGTCAATTTCGAACAGTTTCCGGATAACTTTGTGGACATAGGCAGACTTAGGGTGGGCTAAATGTGATTTAGCCCCCCCGAACCCAATTGGTTCTTTTATTTTAGTAAAATTCTTATTTAATTTTCTAATACCTAAATAAGTATAAAAACCATTTTTTTTCAAATGTGCCTTTTTTTATATATACTTTAATACTTTTTTTTAGACTAGTTGGATAACGTTTGATTGTGGTTTATGTGTCATTTTACACAAGACAACTTCTGTTTTATTAACCTGGCGGCTGACCGCCAACCGTCTTGTGGCAAGACCTATTGGGAGGGTGGGGTGAAGGATTGTTATTGTCATTGTAGACTACTTTTCCACAGCTAAGTATAAACAAATACAAAATATAAACATTGTATATATATATATATTAATATTAATAATAAAGCAAACTTATCGCTGATATTATAAAAATAGTTGAAAACCCGTGGTAAAATAAAATGTTTTTTTTTTTTATGTTAAAACATTTTGGGGTATATGCCATGCTAAGAAATATAATCAATTTATTGTCTATTTTACTAACAAATAGTACAGATAGTGTTTTGAATACATAAAAAATATTTCAGTTTGTTTTGGCAAATGGAGCTTGTTATAGACGTAAGTTGAATTATAATTACTATAGTAAATTAAAACACAACAATTTTACAGTAGGTATTATTTTGAAGGATAAATGTTTAAGATAACTTTTAGAAATCAAATTTTAACCTAAATATTTAATTCATCCATTAAGTATAGTGACGCCAAATACTGGTTTGTAATGTATTAAATAATTTTTGTGTTATTTGCTTTTTAAATTATAGACGAAGTATGTGGATGGAAATAATAGTATTCTAGCCCTTTTCTCACCTCGTCGAGAACATAAAACTATATATTAGTTTTTTTTGGACTTTTTTTAGCTAAAATAAATAGACAAAATAATGTAAAGTACATTTAAGTTCATTGGGTACATTTTTTCCCCTGTTAGATATATACTTTTTTTTTTATTAAGAAAATAAGGGACGATAATTGTGGGCGGGAAAAAATATCATATAAGTACATTCCAACTAATTTTAAGGCGTACAAATATTATTTTTTTCTAGTTATATAACTTTTTAAGTTACCTATTTTTCTCAGTTTTGGCGGAAGTTTGATAAAAAACCACTCAATGTAATTTTCGATCGTATTAATAAGACGGATTCAAATTTT